AAAAAAAAAGTTAGAATAACTATTATGACTTGAAATAACAGCACATATCTCGAGAACCGTTCATGGTGGATGATTTGCTGTGGACCCAATGACGTGCACGGTTGAACGAGACACGTTCAATATTCCTAAACTTTGAATAAACAGGCAAACACGCCCTGTATAGCGGGGGGAGGGGCAGAGCTTCGGGCTGCAGCTGCTGGATGTAATGAAGCTCTACAGTAAGTTCAGTCAGGAAGACTATACTCTTGCATGCCTAAGCCTGTAGTTTATTTCCCATACATCTGCCTCTCTTTCCTCACACATGCTCACTCATTATTTCCTTGCCGTCATTGTTTGGGGCTGTCAATCATGATACCAACTGTTTAGATCAGCTGGTCTCCTCTGTCCAATAGCACAACAAAAGAGTGACATCGTTAGCCTATCATCTTGCTGCTGTCTCTTTTGTCTCTCTACCTTCAGTACGTTCATGCTGCTGCTACGCACCCCTCCATCTCCTCATCTCCTCCCAATCTTCACAGATCCATCATCTCATCATTATATCAGCCTCATCAGCCACCACAAGTATCTGGACTCCACGGGGGGTTTATCTTCTGCTGCTCAGGGAGACGCTCCTCCATTACAAATCTCCCTGCAGAGTCCAAGCACCAAAGACTCTGTCAAGACTTTATCATCACATATCATCTGTTAATAATAAACTATTATCTTTTCATCATCTTACTTGTCTCTCCTGATTGAACTAATGTTGTAACCAGCAGTTCCCAACAACACTGAGAGCAGCACTTCATGGGGAAAAACAATTGTCTGGCTCCGAATGGGCAGCATCAGCAGCTAGGTATAACCGAGACCAAAATCACAAATGTTTCTTGTAGGGATGCACCCATACACTTTTTTCAGACCAAGTACTTGAGCACACCAAGTATGGATATGAATACTTAATAATACCATTACAGTTCTAACAATGACTTTGAAAATGGTTTAATTTTCATGTTCTTCACTTTCTGACCAACAAATTAAATATACAACATGATGACTGTTTAACCGTGCTTTGAGTTTAACAGTTAAAATAAATATTGAAAATAAAATAACTGAGCAGCTTGTCACTTAAAGGAGAAAAGCTAGTCCACCTTAAAACTCTAAGCCGGGCTACCATAAACTGCAGGAAACCCTGACAGATGACACACAGCTGACAACCTCCGAGCTATACTGTTGATGCAGTGGAGACTTAAGTGGTTGCATGTGTCCACGACAACGCATGCAACATTGTCGCTGCCGACTCTCCAGGAAGGTTGAACTAGGAACTGCCTGTTTTCATGGATTTTATCAATTTGAGCTAAGGATCGGACCCAATCCCCCATACTGGTATCGTTTATCAGTGACAGACTGCATGTACACTAAAATGGTAAATGGACTGTACTTGTACAGCGCTTTTCTAGTCTTTCCGACCACTCGAAGCGCTTTCACACTACTTGTCATCAGTGTATGAATGGGTGAATGATGACAGGTGCTAAGTGACACCTGCCTATCAGACTAACTCATTCACACACCGTAGGCACAGCTACGGGAGCAATTTTGCGGTTAAGTATCTTGCTCAAGGACACATCGACATGCAACTAGCGGAGCCGGGGATCGAACCACTGATCCCCTGAAGGACGACACTGCTCTCCACTTAGCCACAGTCGCTCACTAGACAAAACTGTATCAGTAACAGACTGCATGTACATATAGATTCTATGAAAATATGAGACTTCGAGCATTTTAATGAGAGAGGCTCCATTGATTAATTAGGAGGTCTAATGAAAACAAAGTGAATGACTCGTGGACATGTGAGAACAGGTAAGCAGGAGTCACTGGTGATTGCAGGGCTATCGGGGGACAGGTGAAACTGAACAGGGGCAGGGCAGACAAACAAAACTGGCGGTAAAACACACAGGCAGGAAGTGAAGTGATCTGAAACAAGAGAAGAGGTGAAAAACAAAATATACCAGCAAAAAATGACCGTGGAACTGGAGTAGGACACATTTTGGGGACTTTTCATTACGCTAGCTCACGCTTCCTCGCTGCACTCGCTTGACCCGCAAATTGATCCATTTCCTTGATCCTTCAATGTTGTTTCCAGATCAGTGTTTGTAATTGTATAATCCGGCCTGATCAATGCACTCAACTGGCCACCTATTATGTTTACTGATGGAAATCAAATGCTGTCTTACTTCTCTGCACTGAAGCCAGACAGCTTGGTGACAGCCAGGGCACTAACGCCAGTTCATCCCCCCAGTTTTAAAGTATAACCCAGCCGTTCTGGAAAATATTCACTAAGATTTGGTTGATGCCTTTATTCAAGGTGGGAAAGCTCAGAAATATCAACCTTGTTCTGAATAAGTATTGCTTTTTTAAATGAGTATTATTCACCTTCTGTTCTGTTATGGTCTGACTCTAAAACCAGAGCAAATGATGGAAGATCAGGCAAGGAATTAACTAAACAAATACTTTTATTTAACAAAGGTTAGGATCATTTACCAAATGTAACAAAAATGACCATTCTCATAAAGAATGCTGGCAGGCAAACATGCTGCCAGTTCGAATTAGGTAATATTGAGACCAAACATCCAGCGTAGCACCAGGTGTGTTAGGAAGGAAGAAGTTTTCTCCTCATGGGGCGGGTCTTATAGGCTGAAGGCAGTGGCCAGCTGCCTCCAATCAGCTTGATGGCCTCACGCTCTAACCAACCAGGGACACTGAAAGACAGATATAGGAACCGCTACCTATAAGCCTCTGGCACTAACTCATATGTTCGCAGAATAGCACCTTTGACCTTGTCATAGACCAGGCTATCTTCCACCGACAGGGACGAGCAAGCTTCTTGAGCTTTTCCAACCAGCTTACACTGCAACAGTATGGCCCACACGTCTTCTGGCCAATGTAAAGCAGCAGCGATGCGCTCAAAGGCGCCAATGTATGATTCCACCTCAGACTCACGAAATAGAGGGACCAAAGAAATATTTTTACTGACATTGAATGCAGCAGTAGAACTTGACATTACCTGTATATCTGCAGAGGTGCGAACAGAACCAGAATGCAGCTCTAACTCATGCATTCTAACAGCTGTATCTGCCTCCAATTTACGCAACCTGAACTCATACTCTCGCTCTTCCTTTTCTAACTGAAGACACGCACTTTTAACCGAGCATCAACCCTCAAACCAGGAGTTGACGAAGGTTGAAGGTCACATTTTGTGTGAGTGTTGGCCTTTATAGTGGTTTAAATGATCAGATCCCCTTCCAGGTAGCAGGTGCTTGTGATTCTATACAGGCAGTATGACGCGTCTCGTTTAAATAAAAAGTTTAGAAGTTGAACCATCAACCAAAAATCTTGGCTTCCCCACAGCCCCTAAAACTAAATCTGTCCTCTATTGTCAACAAACAAACCCCAAACTGAAAATAAAATACCTAATTGCAGATTGTGTCCCTTAAAGCATTTATCACATCCCCCATCCCTGTAATTGTAAAACTTTTCTCCCTAAAAGCCTCATCCCTACATTTAGGGCAGTGTGGTGTGGTGGCTGTCCATTGGTCAACGCAGACTCAATAAGGCTGCGGCAACATTGTGCCACCACAGGGTTGTCCATGACATCTGCAAGATTAAGAATTTTAGAACATTGATGTAATGTAAGTCGCAAGCACTTTTCATATAAGATATCTAGTATATCTGTTAATGATACTATGTGAAATATTTGTTTTAACTGGGGAATATGCTAAAATATTAGGTAGTCAGTTTTCAAAATGTTATTTTAACCATTTATTTTCCTTATTCTTATATATTATCTAAATTACTTCCATTTTAATGTGGATAACCCCTTAAACTGACTTTTCAAAAAAAGTCCCTTGTTTTCCCAGTTTAAAAAAAACACTTGCTGCAGAATATGGCTTGTTTGTACAGAAAGAATATATAAGTTACTGACCTCAGCATATAAGGCACTGGAAAGTGGCCCTGGCGCTGGTCACCTGGTCATCAGTCAGGGCCACTGTGTTAATTCTATTGGCGCGGGCATATTCCCCGAGCTCCCTCAAGGACTGCTTAATAGCTGGCAGCTCTTCTGCTGCCAGAGCCAGCTCCTCCACCCTCTCCACGGTTTCATCATCTATGCCACTGGGACTGGGGGAATAGGGGAGAGATATACTGTATATACAAAAACTGAGTTTAGACAATACAAAATTCAAGCAAGTCATTAAAATGTAGCTGTATATTGACTGTTCATATCTATATTTCAGGTAGTCACAACCTAAGTACCATCATTTTACATATTTAAATAAGGACTCCAACTTAAAAACAAAGGAAAGCATTTTAGTTTAACCAACTCATCCCCGCTTCACAAAAATATATTTTTCATAATGTATCCCATTAATGTGCAAGGCCTTCTCTGCTGGCCTAAACAGAATTACAAAGTTATAGCTATTTTATAATTTTTTATAAATACACTACATGTATTATAATTTATAAAAATATTTTCCCATCTTATTTTCTCATTGCACAGCTACTGTCTTCCTCAGTTGCTCTGCTTCCAGTGCAGCTTGTTTTAAGTAGAGCTTTTATCCAATCAGATTTCACCTCTGTGTCTCTAGGTAAGAAGAAAGGCCCGAGGCCTGCAGACTCACAAGCAAATACCTTTGCAGTTTAAGTGAATGGGGACGATATTGTTGATTGTCATAGTCTTCAACCAATCACATCTTTAGTTTGACATGTTGGGCGGATTTTTGTTTGGTTTAATATGTGATAGGAACCATTGTTACGTCCAATGTTGCTCTGGGGACATATTTAGTCGGTGCCAGTGTTGGCAACTTGCTCGCTAAATCTGGCGACTTTCCAAACCCTCATGGCGACTTTTGTCAAAAGCTACAGTGACAAATCTAGTGACTTGTTCTGGTGTTGTTGGAGACTTTTCTGGTGTTTTGACTCTGACCTTAAAGCACGTACGTTCTGCACTGTCGTGAACGAGCAGCGGGTGCTGCCGTGAGCCCCTCCGCCACTCCAAAGCACACACAGGCGGACTCTCGCAGCAGTCAGAGAGGAGACGCACTCTTGCCGTATTCTCTGCAGTGGATCTATAGTTGTTGGCTTCATTTTTACACAAAACAAATAACCGTAGCTGTGTTTCAGCTGCAGGACAGCAGTGAAGGCCCAGGTATGAAATGCACGGCCCGCCACTGGTATTCAGCATGAGTTGTCATTACTTTATCTGACTTATTTATGGCTTTTTTGTGAAGCGCTAGTCTTACTAGATTGTTGACTTTAAATTTAGGGAGGTCTTTGTCAATTTGCTTGTGTTGGCACTTAGTCTAGTGGTGTTCAAAAGAACTTGGTGACTTGAAAATAGTTCATTCTACATTTAGAGACTCTATGATCTGTGTATTTACATTTCACTCTTGAAAGCCTATTGTGGCACAATAACTGAGTCTTGCATTCAAAAATAGGTGGAGGCTTCGCTAAACACTGTGCTTGTTACCTCGTCCTTCGCCTCTTTTTTTCGAATCAGCTCACAGGGCAACAATGCGCCGGGCATTTTGCTTCCAAAACCCCAGCCCTAAAGACAAGATAATGGAGTTAAAATGTAATGATCAGATTATACATAATCAAATGTTATAGAAGGAAAAGTAAAATAAATCCAAGGAATTAGCTAATTAGACAAGATTGGAACAATAATAGATATACAAGATATGTGATGTTATATTAAGTACACTTAAGTAGAAATTACGTTTTTACAAATACATACCAGTTGTCCCTGGCCATCACAGAGGATTATGTCTCATCAATTATGTACTTATTCGGCGTACCTTTTTGTCCGTTTATTGCAGTTAAATCACAGCTAAATGTTTATTTGGGGTTCATACAGCTGTAGTAAACCTGCCGACGTGGCATTTTAAATACTGTGAACCTCCACAATGGTCTCGCTAGTAAGCTACCGCGCGAGTATGTGCTATTTTATTACGATATTAATCGTTGGGTCAATAAAATGAGACGAAAGGTTAAAAAAAAATACTGACATGTTTTTAATCTCAGTTTCTCAAATTCTAAGCTAATGTTCATGAATGTCTTGTTTCGTCAGTACAAAACACAAAGATATTCAGTATAATATGTGTTACGTTCCCCGTTCTGGCATCTAAGGGATGCGGGGAGTAACAGTGTTATTTACCCGGGGAAAGAGAGACTGAGCAACGATGACGGTTAACAAAAAGGGTATGTATTATAAAAGGGCTAGCTGCTTGCACGGCAGCAAAAGAAAACTACTTTCTTATAAAAAGAAAGCGACACTAGACATACAACAGCCCACACGGCTGGAACAAAGGTGCAACAATGGTCCACAGCAACACACACACACACACATACACCACTACGCGTTGCCCAAGGGTTGTCAGCTCACGCACCCAGCCTCCCTACTGTGGTCTGCCCCAAGAGAGATCGTCCTTCAGGAGATCCTCTCCTTTTAGCTACCAGCCACAGCTAATTGCGATTGAACTCAGCCGCTGCAGCTGGCATCCGGGTCAGAGGGTGGCACTCGAGAAGACTGAGGGAAAACAGAGGGAGAGCACAAACACAACACGGCACGTTACAATATGCTATAAAACAGTCACTGTAGGATACTGGACAAATACGATTTAGGGAGAGCAGGGTAATGTGAGACACCGGGTAATGTGAGACACCCCCTGTATCTAGGCAAAGGAACACATTTGTGGTCATGTGACCATTATGTTTTCAAGCCCCTCCCATTCCCCCTTGCCATGAAGGAGAAGTTGGTGCTGGGGTAAGTATGTTTTTTCACAAAAATGTGTTTTTTGCATGTAAAAGTAAATTTTCTTGCTGTGAACTTAATCAACTGTTGTGTCAAAGCAAATTGATTCAGGTAGAAAAACTTATATCATACATGTTGATGAACTTCCAACATATAAAACCATGTGATTGATGCTAGCTGAAGATTTGCCTGAATTGCGAAGAGATGTTTTTTCTAAAATAGTAGCTGTGGGGTAAAGTGAGACAAATGCTGTGGGGTAAAGTGAGACACTGTCTCACTTCACCCCACCATGAAGCACAAGTTAAGTTTAGTCTTAAACATATTTTAGTGTAATATTACATTAGTTTTATTTTTAATGTCATAAACATTGTAGAAAAGCCATCATGCCAAGAAACTACACCAGGAAGACAACCTGGGGCCAAACACCCCTCACAGAGATGGAGAGTGCAGCCGCTGAGGTTATGCAAGGAAAGAAGTCCTTAAGAAAAGCTGGAAGGGATAGAAATATTGACAAGACAACCCTCAAAAGATTCATAAAGAAAAAAGAGGAAGGGGAAGTAAAATCAGTAGCCTGGGGTGCAGTAGCTGAGGCAAAGAGAATATTCACAGATGAGATGGAGGAGGAGCTTGCCAAACACTTGAAACAACTAGCTGACCAGTTCCATGGCCTTGCGTCAGTTAAGTGCCGTGAACTGGCATTTCAATACGCAGAGAAAAACTATATCCCTGGGTCTGCCAATTGGACAGAGAAACAATGTGCAGGTAGGCTAGGGTGTGCAAGAGTTCACATGATTCTGTAGGTTAACTTAGGCCAACTGATCTTGCCACAAAGCTAAATCTTATAATAATGAGTTCTCTACTCTTTAGGAGAAGAGTGGTTTGGCAGCTTCCTAGCACGTCGCCATCTCTCTGTCCGAACTCCGGAGGCAACATCCCTGGGAAGGGCTACAGCCTTCAATAAAACTACAGTGGGGGAGTTCTTTGAAAATCTGGCTGTAGTGATGGACAGGTGACAGAATTAATTCTTTAGTTGCAAATGTTTTATGGAGGCTTTACCTGTAAGATTTGGTTTTGATTCTGATAAGGTTTTTCCCTCGCCTCTCTTCTTTAACAGGCACACATTCCCTCCACACATGATTTACAATGTGGATGAAACAGGCATCTTTACAGTACAAAAACCATGGCAGGTAAGCTACACATGATACACTAGAGAGCACCAGACTGATACCGAGTGGCTTGTGATAATGACCAGCTAGCTATTGGCAGAATGCTGAAACTAATGCTATTAGTAATGTTGTGAACCTGTGAACTGGAAAAAATGAATGGACTGAATTGATTCTAAACTTTCTATTTGATTCAGGTTGTGACAGAGAAAGGAAAAAAGCAAGTTGGTTCTATCACATCGGCTGAGAGAGGAGAACTGGTGACTGTGGTGTGTGCAGTGAATACTGCTGGGAATGCCATACCTCCCATGTTTGTCTTCCCCAGAGTTAGGTTTAAGGACGACTTCATGATAGGAGCACCTCCAGGAGCCAAAGGTGCCTCCACCAGAACGGGTTGGATGAATGAAGACACCTGGCTTGAGTTCCTTGATCACCTGATACAGCACACTAAGTGCACTCCTGACCATCCCATGCTGCTAATCCTTGATAATCTTAAAGCTCACATCTCACTCAAGGCAGTAGAAAAAGCAAAGAGCAATGGTATTGTTCTGCTCACCCTTCCACCCCACACATCCCAACGCATGCAGCCTCTCGACGTGACCGTGTATGGCCCGTTCAAGACCCTATACAGCCGAGCTCTTGATGGGTGGATGAGATCTAACTCTGGCAAAACAGTCTCCATCTACCAGATTGCAGGACTTGTGAATGAGGCCTTCTTGTCAGCAGTGACACCACGGAATATCACTTCTGGATTCAAGTCCACTGGGATTTTCCCATATAACCGAGATATTTTCCCTGAGGAAGCGTTTGCATCATCCATGGTGTCAGACCGGCCAAATCCTGAGCTGCAGCCTGCATCCACTGGTCCATCCACTTCAGATGATCCGGATGGTCCACGCCCTGCAGATAATCCAGATGATCCACTCGCTGATGCTAATCCATCCACTGCGCGTGGTCCACATGGATGTGCCTCGCCAGCTGACTCAGATGTGCCACGTGTTCCCAGCCGACCTGGATATGTGTCTCCTTGTGAAATCCTACCACTTCCCAAATGTCCCCCCAGAGCACAAACCAAAAGAAAGCGTGTGAAGACAGCCATCCTAACTGATACTCCTGAGAAGCAGACAATAGAAAAGGCTTATGAAGAGAGACAAAAGAAACTGGCAGGGAAAAAGCAAAATAGCAAAAAAAGGGAAAACCGAAAAAGAAAGCACCCAAAAAGAAAATCATACATAGCAGCTCTGAGGAGAGTGATGTCCCTGTCCCACTTGATGATGAGTTTGACAAAGAGAGCTCTGAGGATGAGAGAAGTGATCCTGGAAACACAGATCTGTCCGTGGGTGACTTTGTCCTCGTTAACTTTGCAACCAAACACAGGAGTCTCCGTTACGTTGGCATGGTTGAGAAAGTTGAGGATGACGAAATACTTACACAATTCCTCAGAAGAATCCAGGGAAACAAGAAAGAGTGGGAGAGACCCACGTTTGCTATAAAAGAAAATGATGTGGCACATGTTCCTAAAGGTGATGTGGTGAAGAAGCTACCTCAACCTAATAGGCCTGGAGGAACCACACGGATAGAGCAACTCTTCACCTTTCCCTGTAACCTTCAGGGCTGGAATGTAGAGTAGGTCTTGTTATAGAGTATGAGGCTGATGTTCTAATCCAGGTGGGTCTAGTCCTGTGTTCTGAGTCCGGTCCCATGACTGTGTTCTAATCCAACTGGTTCTATCTGTCTTTTGAATTATATTATGTTGTATATGATTTTGTTCGGAGTTACTTTCAAGTGTTTAAAAAAATGTGCTTAATTGACCAATCGCCATGATTCTGTTACTAGTCCGATATTAGTTTTGGAATGTGTGGTTGTCAATCTAGCCGTCAGGATCCTAACCGTTATAACATGTGTTGTTATGGTAGTTTTAAAATGGAAAAAGTAAGTGGATCAGTTTACCCCCAGCTGGTTCACTTTACCCCCTTGATTTCTCTGGTCTGTCTCACTTTACCCCTAAGCTGGGGTAAAGTGAGACACAAGACCACTTTTTAAAATACAATCATATTTCCACTGCCCTGTGTCCTGAAGACATTCTGATCATTTCCATTGCTAGGAAACATCCTGAATTAATGGGAAATGTGTAAATTTTACTGGTATATCATTTTAGCTCGCCTTGAGGGGAGCAAATGTAAAAAATGTCTCACATTAAATCCCCTACTAAATTTTAAGATTTCTAAATTATTTTCAATTTGTGTCTGGTTTATACAATTTCTAATAGTTTAGCCCCTCCACCACTATGTTACTTTGTGTGTACTCGCTCAGTAAATTATATTATATCCTCCATACGAAATTGTAAGATTTTGCCGCACTCCATTTGCCCAATCACATTTTTCTATAAAAGCCACATATCAGTGTAACACAGTGCCTGACGATGTGAGGCACTGCAACTCTATCAGCTACTTTAAAACCAACTTAAAAAGTCTGTTATAAGCTTTTTTGGTTGAGTCTCAAATGTGCTATTTCTTGCTTTATGTTTACTTCTTGTAAAGAGATGACTGATTTATTTGAACATTTGCACCATAGCTAACAGGAGAAACCTATGGACAACTCATCCAGGCAGCTGGTATCCACAGAGAGCCAGGAAGTAGAATTTCCTCCACCGCACAAGAGAAAGAGGCAACACTACTAGTTTCCCCAGGATGCCATTTGTCTTCACCAGTGAAGACTGACGAACCCAGTCCAGCAACAGTTGCCAGAGCAGACCGATATGTTACGAATTACTCCACTTTCCAGGAACAGTGCCCCCCCCCCCCCCCTCAGGTGTTTGTCGACTTTAACACAGGCCGAAGGGCAAGTTCACTGACACCTAGAAATCTATCTTTTGTTAGAGTTTTATTTGCTTGTATATCATTTAAAATGTTTTAGTTGCATGCAATCTGTTATTTAATACAGTTTGTTCATTTAATTAATCTTTTAATTGTATTTGATTTTTAAAAGCAACATAACATTTGTACAATTTACACCCTTAAAATATATTGACAACCGAAAAAAATCAAACCACTGAGGATTAAAAGCTATACTAGGAGGTGTCATTTTTCCCCCTATTTGTTTACGTTCCTTTCAGGTTGTCCTAAAAGAAGATAATTCACCAAAGAAGTTTGTTGCTCCAAACTCTGTAGAAACAACTTCTCAAGTCCAATCAATTTCATCCCACAATGAAACCACTGGGGTCGTCCAGGCAGCTGCAGTGGACAAGCCTTTCTCACTGTCACAGAGGACCATGTTTGTCTCATTGAAGCAGTCCCGCCCAACAAACATGGCCCCTTCAGTAGTGAACCCTCACTTGAAGTCAGCAACCCGTTCTTCCATGCGTCATCACCCCTTCTCTACTCGTGGTGGCATTCCTGAAAAAAGATCAGGTTGGGCAGAACCTATGTGGACCAGTTACCCCTACCCAGACAATCAGGTTGGTTTCATAGAGTCTATGAAACCAACCTGATTTATGACATATACAGTTGTGTGAAAAAGTGTTTGCCCCCTTCCTGATTTATTTTTTTGCATGTTTGTCACACTTAAATGTTTCAGATCATCAAACAAATTTAAATATTAGACAAAGATAACACAAGTAAACACAAAATGCAGTTTTTAAATGAAGGTTTTTATTATTAAGGGGAAAAAAAAATCCAAACTTGCTGGTGTGTTTTGGATCATTGTCCTGCTGCAGAACCCAAGTGCGCTTCAGCTTGAGGTCACGAACAGATGGCCGGACATCGTCCTTCAGGATTTTTTGGTAGACAGCAGAATTCATGGTTCCATTTACCACAGCAAGTCTTCCAGGTCCTGAAGCAGCAAAACAGCCCCAGACCATCACACTACCACCACCATATTTTACTGTTGGTATGATGTTCCTTTTCTGAAATGCCGTGTTACTGTTACGCCAGATGTAACGGGACATACACCTTCCAAAAAGTTCAACTTTTGTCTCGTCAGTCCACAGAGTATTTTCCCAAAAGTCTTGGGGATCATCAAGATGTTTTCTGGCAAAACTGAGACGAGCCTTTATGTTCTTTTTGCTCAGCAGTGGTTTTCGTCTTGGAACTCTGCCATGCAGGCCATTTTTGCCCAGTCTCTTTCTTATGGTGGAGTCATGAACACTGACCTTAATTGAGGCAAGAGGCCTGCAGTTCTTTGGATGTTGTTCTGGGGTCTTTTGTGACCTCTTGGATGAGTCGTCGCTGCGCTCTTGGGGTAATTTTGGTCGGCCGGCCACTCCTGGGAAGGTTCACCACTGTTCCATGTTTTCGCCATTTGTGGATAATGGCTCTCACTGTGGTTCGCTGGAGTCCTAAAGCTTTAGAAATGGCTTTGTAACCTTTTCCAGACCGATAGATCTCAATTACTTTGTTTCTCATTTGTTCCTGAATTTCTTTGGATCGCAGCATGATGTCTAGCTTTTGAGGATCTTTTGGTCTACCTCACTTTGTCAGGCAGGTCCCATTTAAGTGATTTCTTGATTGAGAACAGGCGTGGCAGTAATCAGGCCTGGGTGTGGCTAGAGAAATTGAACTCAGCTTTCCAAAGATGTGATAAACCACAGTTAATTTATGTTTTAACAGGAGGGGCAATCACTTTTTCACACAGGGCCATCTAGTTTTGGATTTTTTTTTCCCCTTAATAATAACTGCATTTTGTGTTTACTTGTGTTATCTTTGTCTAATATTTAAATTTGTTTGATGATCTGAAACATTTAAGTGTGACAAACATGCAAAAAAATAAGAAATCAGGAAGGGGCAAACACTTTTTCACACTGTATATTATGATATAGACACACACTGCCACATAGACATGCTCTATGGAAAGCTTGGCTACAGTGGGACATTCAACAGCTTTCAAAATCACTACAAGAGCAGCTTTGCTCCAGAGTTTAGAGCAGGGGTGTCCAGACTACGGCCCGCGGGCCATTTTTAATTGGCCTGCAGCAAATTCTAAAAATATAATGTAATATGGCCCACACATGACACTTGCGCTTGACTGTATTGTACTTCTTAGTTTCACCACTAGGTGGAGTTACTGTCTTGAACAAGGCAGCTTATCCGCAAAATAAGAGCAATCAAAGAAAAGCTTTGCCACGGATGACTAACAATGGCAGAATCAAAGAAACGCAAGATAGCAAGTGAGTGTAGACAATTTCAGACATGGTGGGAAAATGAATATTTCTTCATAGAAGTCAAGGGGAAGTGTGTGTTTGATTTGCAATGAAACTGTTGCAAATACTGTTACACGTCCTACACTGGTGCCGAGCGAGAACAGAAAGTTAAGCAAATGGCAGCTAGCCTGCTAGCTCAACAACAGTATTTTTTCCATGCTAACGAAACACAAGAAAAAGCCACAATAGCCAGCTACGAGGTAGCTCAACTCATTGCCCGCCATGGGAAACCTTTCTCAGATGGTGACTTCATAAAACAGAGCCTCACTAAAGTCGCAGGTATAATGTGCCCGGAAAAAATGCAGGAATTCAACTAGTTAGCATGTCCAGCAACACAGTTGTGCGGCGAATCGAAGACTCGTCAGCTAACTTAAAACATCAAGTGTCAGATAAAGCTTGTGCTTTTGATTTTTCCTCGATTGCATGTGATGAGAGCACAGATGCTACGGACACCGCACAGCTGTTAATTTTTTTGCGGGGAGTTGATGATCATTTTTCTATTACGGAGGAGCTGCTTGATCTCAGGAGTCTAAAGAGCACAACAACCGGTAAGGACATGTTTGAAGCTGTGTCAGATACAGTTGACAAGATGGGACAAGCTGTGTGGAGTTACAACGGATGGGGCCCCAGCTATGAAAGGCGAGCGCAAAGAAATGGCCTCTATTGTGTGCGCCAAGGTGCAAGAGAGCGGAGGTGAGGCTGTTAAAATGCACTGTATCATCCACCAAGAAGCCCTCTATGCTAAGACAGTCCAGCTTGGTGATGTGATGAACACTGTTGTGAAAACTGTCAACATAATTCGAGCACGAGGGCTCTACCACAGAGAATTTCAAGTTTTCCTCTCTGATGTTGATGCTGAATACTGGGACCTACTCTACCATTCTGATGTGCGTTGGTTAAGCCGCGGCTCCGTGCTGCAACGGTTTTATTCCCCGAGATCAGAAATCGACCAGTTTTTGAAAGAGAAGGACCGACATCTTCCTGAGCTGAGTGACCCTCTCTGGTTGGCAGATCTGGCATTTTTAGTGGATCTTACTGGTTATCTTAACACACTGAACAAGTGCCTACAAGGCAAAGACCAGCTTGTACCACAACTTTATGCGCACATGAAAGCATTCTGTGTGAAGCTCCGTCTCTTTGAGACACAACTACGCAACTTCAATGTTGCACACTTCCCCACGCTGTCCGAAGTCAAATGTGCTTTTCCAAAGGCCAACCTTTCTGCTAAAAAGGGGAAATATGTCCGTGATAACGTCTCTCATGATAGAATTCAGTCAGCGCTTTAAGGATTTTTCTCTCGCTGAGAAAGACATCAAGCTGTTCTTGACTCCCTTCCTGATGAATACAGAAGAAGTGGAAGAGAGTCTGCAAATAGAACTTATCGAAATGCAGTGTGACGATTCTCTGAAGAATCAACATCAGCTTCTCTCCCTACCCGACTTCTACCGGAGCTTGGAAAAGGCCAAGTTTCCTCTGATGAGACGCCACGCAAAAAGAATGAGTCTGTTCGGCTCAACATACATATGTGAGCAAACATTTTCTCTGTTAAATCTGAATAAAAACAGACTGAGAACCAAAATGACCGACAGCCATCTCTGTGATGTCCTTCGCATCTCAACTACCAAACTTACTCCTGACCTGCCAGCCATCCTTCAGTCCAAAGCGCAGCATCACTTCTCCCACTGAGTGCAATGCTGTTCCCATTATAGGTGAGTTAAAAATACATTATAGTATTCATGTGTTAACAAGCTTAAAATATACCCATCCCCCCTTATTTCCCCCCCCTTTTTACAGTGCTGTGAAGGGGGATCACCATCCTGACTAAGAAGCAATCTGAGCCTGCTGTTTTGACAATGAGCTGCCAACCCTTTTTGTTAAAAAAAACCCATTAATGGAAAGCTGGGATGGAGGCTGTTTTTTTTTTCTTTAAGCACATTAAATTATTAAGCATAATTTACCTTGTGACGGCCCAGGGCCTCTGCCGGGGATTGTATGTCTTTCAGTGTCCCTGGATCGTTGGAGAGTCACATCAAGAAGATTGGAGGCAGCTGGCCACTGCAGACAGACCCGCCCCATCCAGAGGAAGGGCTGGCTTCTTCCCCTCTGACACACCTGGTGTGCTGCAAGGAGTGTCTTGCAGCAGCAGTTGAACTTTCTGGCGTTCTACGAGATGTCTCATTTGTGTTACAATTTGAAATGTCCTGGCCTTTTGTTATTAAAAGTATTTGTTTGGTTAGCTCCTTCCCTGAGTTTTTGTGACATTTGATATGGTTCTAGAGCCGGACCATAACAACCTACATTTGATTGATTTTGCTAACTTTAACACACTAGAGCAGAGGTCTTCAACAGGGGGTCTGCGACCCCTAGGCGGTCCGAAATTTTTGGTTGATTAGACAATTTTAAATTTAATTTTTTTTCCAAACATGAATCTGTCCATTATTGCATGTAAGACAACAGGTATGTTTATGCATGGCAGTGGCACTAATAGGCCGTCACTCATTTTCGTTTCCACATTTGTTTAAAATAAAACAGTCAATTTGAATAGCTTGTAGCCTGTGCATGATTATCATGCAATTGATGAATGTTGATATTGGCATTGGTATCAGTTGACAAGGTATGTTTATAAATGGCAGTGGCACAGCCTCCCTACTCACTGTACCTTGCACATGTTTAAAATAAAAACATGAATATATGAACCTGTGTATTATTTGAATAGCTTAGTATTGAATGCACAATAATAAGGAATGTTTATACATGGCACTATGACCAGTTTAATATAAAACACAATTTCATACAATATATACGTATAGTCGGGGGTCCCTGCTCCATCAGTTTGGGGGTCCTTGGCCTGAAAAATGTTGAAGACCCCTGCACTAGAGGTGAGGCGATATACCGCATCTCTAGTGAGTGGCCCAGCCCTTGATATATTTTTCTGTATGTGGCCCTCAGTGAAAAAAGTTTGGACACCCCTGACATAGAGCAACATAATGCATGTTTACACGTGTTCTGTAGCGCCAGGCAGCGGATACAGGAAGCATCGGACTATTTGCAAAGCATCATTTCCAGCATCAGGCAGTCCATGCGGGATTAAAAACGTCTCGCTCGCAGACGCGCTGTCCGACAGCCGCGGACATTATCAGACGCGCAGGCCGGAGTCCCGCCGGCACCCCCGACATGCTGGAAGATGCGAGGGCCCGTTCATCGCCGCTCGCTGCTTTAATTTTACTTGAAAATATATTCAAGAATGTAATGCAATTAATATGTCTGAAAGCACTGCTTGAAAGCAATCTAAAGTCCAATCTTTTTGGAAATTGATTGAATTATTGCCAATTTCTTTTCAGTAAAACAAACTGAACAATAAACTGGAATGTACTTATTTAAGAAAAACAGATATTTTATAGAGTTTATATATTATAAATTATTATATTTGGGGTGGGACAGATGAATTCAATGAGTTCAACTAGCTAGCTACCACATGTAGCTTTGTTAGCTAGCTACGTTATTAACCGTGTGTAGAATACTATGTAAGCTCCGCTATATCGGTATAACAGTGATGTTTACGGCTACATGCAGCATTTACTGCTTCGATAATGCGCCAGCGCTATAGTGGACACTTGTATTTGTTTAACACAGGTCAGTCTTTCCCGGTGTTTACCCGGCTAAAACACGGTCCAGTATGGCGGTTACGTTCATGTACAAGCCAGTTAGAAAATTAAACACAGCCTCTTTACTCCGGTAATGTATGTAACGTTATGCATGTTTTGTGTATAACGTGGTACATGAGATATGGGGTAATATTCCGTTTGGGCGGCAGCGGAGGTAACGTTAGTAACATGTTGAATTAACGTCTGTTAAAATGGGGGAGCTGGCCGCTGTTGGCGCCAACACTGTTGTGTTATACGAGTAAAAAAGCCGGCATGTGAAGCATTCTTTAACGTCAGTATTGCAGGGGTTTGTGACTGTTGGCGCGTGTGAACTGGTAAAGCGTTGTTTATACTCGCGCTTGCCGCCATAGTGCGAGCCTCCGCAGATCGCGTGTGAGCTCCGAACAAGAACGGAGGCGTTTATACTGTATGGGCTGTGCTGTGTGTTATTCTCTGAAACACCAGAGTGCGTACAAATATAATGAACTGTGAGGAATCAAAAAGACAACCAGTGTAACTCATAGATTGTAGGTGTTACCGGCTAAAAGCCATAAACCAACCTCCACTACAGAGAGGAGGGATTGTAATTATCTGTAATATATCTCTTATTCATGGACTATATTACCTTTGTACAAGCTCTGTAAACATACAAGTTAAGTATAGCATGCATTATAAAGAAACAAAGGTTTAATATCCGAAACAATTTGATTTGGCTGGCAAAATATATACTCAAATTAAGATTTTTAAGACCCCTTGTTTCTAAAGCATCTATAAAGGAATTGGCCTTTGTATAATCCCTAAACATGTAAATATAACAACTTGTGGCAGGTTTTCTCTAACACAATGTGCTTACCTTTTTTTTGCCTATTCAAATTATTTGATTTGATATAAAATGTCATTAAGAAAATTATAAATAACCGTCACTCAATACTGCAGTGCCATCCTTTCTAGCAGGCATATGTTTTACTTTTAAGTTTTCAGTTGGCTATTTTGCACGTCCTCTTCCCCCTGTATGACAGACCTGGCCCTTATCTATTCAGTCGTATAGATGGGGTTGTTTTGGTTTCAGTGGGATACATGTATGTCTCACATTGATGAGATAAAGCTGTATCATGGTAGTTATATATTTGCAGATTACAAGGTCTGCAGCTTAAATGCTTTTTGAAAAACTGAATATGTCCTATATGTGTCTCTTTTGTTTCAGGGGGGGATTGGATGCAGTGCAAATTCGCAAGCTCCAGTCAAGAGATTCTTCTGAAATATCGTCTTCGGCACAGAAAAGGTGCACACTGGCCTTGTATTCACATGGACTGTGTATGTGTATTTCAAACACCTGGTGCATTAGGATCACACACACACACACACACACACACACACACACACACAACTGGGAAAATCCTTGAAAATTCAACATTTCGATGTGAATTGTGTGATTTTAAAGAGATCTGCAGTGAAAACACTTTTTGGAACCATCTTGGACATTATTTAAAGAATCGAGAAACTGTACGATGTCCCATTCTCAGGTGTGCCTTTAAAACAAACACTCGCCCAACGTTCAGTTCTCACCGAAGTAGAAAACATAAAAACTGCACGTTTAAGGATTTTCGAACAATAGCAAGAGCCAACACTGTAGATTAAGCAAATGATGGTGAACAATCTGACAGTGAAGCAGGAACATCATCACAGAACAGTGTGAGACCAGACGAGGTTGAATTGATTGTGTAAGATGTGGATAGTGAGACACTTCAGCACAATTTGGCCTCGCTCTTTCTATATATGCAAACAGTGTTACATGTTTCTAGAGCTGCAACACAAAAGATTGTAGAGGATTTGCATACTTTGCTGTCTTTTTCTAACATTCAGATTCTTAACAGTGTCAAAGGCATTCTTTCAAATCATAGAATTGAATTAAATGATTCTGTTTTGCAAGAAATTTCTAATGCTATAGTTCAAACTAATCCACTACTTTTAACAACATCAGAGAAAGGTTCCCTATCTACAGATACCGAAGGAATTTATATTTCAAGGAACAATTTTATGTTATAGAACCCATAGAATATCTTTATAACACAGCTCATAAAAATGCTTTTGTTTATATATCTGTCACTAAAGCACTTGAGACTTTATTAGGACGGGCAGATTTTTTGGACCGAAGTGTATTTGATCAAGAAGCTTTATCTGGGCACTTTTAAGTCTTTCCAAGACGGCAAGTATTACAAGGACAATAAGTTACTGGGAGAGCAAAACAAATGTATCATTTGGTGTTCTATATTGATTTTGAAGTGTGCAACCCGCTCGGCACCTCTAGAAAAGTTCATAAGATAACTGCAGTATATTGGGTTGTTCTAAATGTACCAGCCAGGTTCCGATCAAGTCTTACTTCAATTCAACTAGCTGTCTTGGGTAAAAGTGTAGATGTCAAGCAATATGGTTATGAAAAGTTTCTTGAGCCATTGATAAAAGAAATACGGTGTCTAGAACAAGAGGGAATTTTTGTTGAAGTTTTAGGTCAGTTTGTTAAGGGTACTATATTTTGTGTGTGCAGATAACCTTGGAGCACAGGTCTTGCAGGCTTTACTGAAAGTTTTATTGTTGACAAGTTCTGCCGGTTTTGTTTGATAAGTCGGGGTCAAATTGCAAACACTGAAGTTAATAATTTTGAATTGAGGAGTGTTGATCAACACAACTCTTTTTTGGAAGAGCTTAGACAGGATGAAAACCTCCAAAGTATTTATGTGATAAAAAGGGAATGTGTACTGAGCAAACATCTACTGTTCTTTCATCCAGTAACTGGATTTCCTCCAGATATTACAGAATTGTCCTTGTGTTTAAAAAATCTGATCTCAAAAGGTTTCATTACATATGATGCACTAAATGATCGTATAATATCATTTCCCTACAAGTATTCAGACAAAGTAAACAAACGTTTGGAAGCTTTGGAAAAGGAACTGTTGGCGGTAATGGACATGAAAATTGGACACTGCTGCGCTTACTTCCTTTTATAATTGAATGTAAGATACCAGAACAGGAGCCTGCATGGGAGATTTTAATGGACCTTAAGGAAATTGTTGACATTGTTGTGTCAAACAGACTGTCAGAGGAAGCAGTGTCTTATTTATCTTGTAAACTGCTGGACTATCGCAAGTTGCTCACCAATACCTTTCTGGATTTTAGATTGAGGCCAAAAATGCCTTTATTGACCACTACCCACATCTCATTCGCTGCTATGGGCCTTTAGTGGAATTATGGACGATGAGATTCGAAGCTAAGCATAGCTTCTTTAAAAAGGTGGTCCATAACACTCACAATTGGAAAAATGTGCTGCTCACTCTTTCCACCAAACACCAGCAAATGATGGCAAACCATCTGGATAATCAGAACCTTTTCAAACCAAAACTGTACATTGAAAAGGTGAAAGTGTTCAGGGTTTCAAAGTTGGATACAACACTAAAGTGTGAAATCCAAAAAAATTACACCCATCTAGACAGTGTATCCCTGTCTAAAACGATTACCCTGCATGGAACACAGTATGCGGAGGGCATGATTTTATCTGCTGGACAGTGCAATGGCCTCCCAGAATTCCATAACTTTGTGACTATTCTTGTCAACACAGAGGAAGTGGCATTCATTTGTAAAAGACTCTCTTCCTGGTACATTGAACATTTCAGGTCTTATGAGCTTGTTGAAGGCTACTGTTCAGAACTTGTCATCCTGGATCCAGATGTGCTGACGGATTACCACCCTCTAGCAGCATACACAGTTGGTGGAAAGTTGATGGTGACCACAAGGACATTCATTCTCCATTAAAGCAACTCAAAATGGTATGTTGTCTTGTGCCAGCTGTTAAGACTAAAAATGGTCCATTCAAGATAATCTCGTTTAGTTTATAGTGGTGCTGAAAACAATTACTTGATTATTTGATGAAGCAAATTTATCAATTCTTTTGATAATTGATTTTTTTTAGTGAGTTATAAAGTAAAAGTACCACTGTGAAAGATGTTGGATGTTTTTTAAACAGGTGTGACTATTTTCTCCCTCTTTTTTCTCTCTCCTCTTTTCAGACATCGTTACTTCGGGTAGTCCTGTCCTCCAAAGAAGCCCGGCGAATTCAGCTTCCTGAAATACCAGGATCTGTGGCCCAACTGATTGATGAACTTAAAGAGAAACTTGAAGGCGATTTTTCCAGAATTTGGAAATGCACTATGTAACTTGACAACAATGTCTGAATTACCAGCTGAGTGTGCAGTCCTGCATATTATGTGGAACTGTGATTCATCTCTACTTAACCAATCCTGCAACAGTTCCATTGGTTCAGTCTCCTCTCTTGATACAGCATGTATTCACTCTGAAGATTTCAGTTCCAGCCATTCAGATTCTATTAGGAACAATTTAAGGCATGTTGCAGAGTGGCCCTCTCCATTCCCTATTCCTGAATTCTCATATGATGAACAAAAATTGCGTAAGGGCAATGAGACATACGAAAAGTCAAAGAAGGGCCTTGATGTGACAAGAAACATTAAGATGGAAATTTTGGATAAACTTGCACAAGCAATTTTTTAAATCAAAAGCTACCCTGAGAAAGATGAACTTGAATCAGTTGCCTATGCGTTGGTTCTCAAATATCCATGCCTGAAGGAGCCAGGTAGCATTAAGGGCTATGATGGATGGAAAACAAGTATTAGGTACAAGCTTGGAAACTACAGGTCAAAGCTGCGTCAAGCGGGCTGCATTGAGGTAGATGTCAGCAGAAAAAGAAAAGGTGGAGATGAAGATGACAGCCCGTTCACCCTGAAAAAGCCCAAACGTGGGGAGGTCAATCATGTCCCAGATTATCCACAACATCACGACGATTCTACTCTTGAGGAGGAAAGAGTTGCCCTGGTCGACGAAATGAAGAACATCACATTGATCCAGCACAAGATGGAGCTGACCTTTTCCCTTAGACGGAGAGAGGTAGTAGAGGGGCAGCCTATGGTATCAGAAGTCCAGGAGAGATGGCCTGCACTTTTTTTCCATTGAGGTAAGGCTGTCCTTATTTATTGTTTTATAATGCGTATTGTAGTGTGTGTAATCGGGCAGGAGCAATTATACGACATTGACTCTAACTAAATAAATACAGGATCTGCTGTTAGTGAGAGAGTGAGTGTGAGATCTCTCTGTCCACCACTAACAGCAGATCCTGTATTTATTCAGTTAGAGTCAATGTCGTATAATATATATATTATTTAGACATGCTCTATATGATAAGTGTCTCAAAATAACTTCTCTTTTGACTTTAATTTAATTAGTATAAGTATTGGTATTATTACTAAAAATAATATTACTTGTAAGTGGGTTGGGTGTAGTTACCCATGATACATTATTAATAATACATTTTTAAAACCATTCTTTCAGTCATTTCATTGATTAATTTCCTGTTGCAATGGTAATTAAACAAGGCAATACAACCATTGTATTCTCTAAATCTCTCACAGTGAAACACACAGAGCATGTGGTGTACCTTGAAAATACATGCTTAGTTACTATCGGTAACCAGTGTTGCCAACTCCTCAGTAAGGAAAGTAGCTATTGGCTGTCCTAAAAGTCGCTAAATGACGTCATCGCCTAATTTGCATAATTTTAATGAGCGCTGTAGGAGAGAGGCGGGAACAGCGGCAGCTTTGCGCATGCGCGATTCATTTGCAGTCTGGACACGGACTGCAAACGGACATAATATGAGAGGGAGCATTTCCACTGCCGCTCAATGGCTCTCAACATGGCCTGACACACACACACACACACACACACACACACACACACACACACACACACCTCGACGGGCAGTAGAAGGCACACTGTCAATTTCCTGCGAAATTTTCTGGTTTTAATACCAATAGTTTTTGTGGTATAAAGAGAATCTAATCATGCTGAAGATCTTCAAGACACTTTAGGATGTCTTGTTGACGCCTGATACATTTATAGGTGGAACATACGGGATTTAAGGCATTACTACGGTAGTAACAACTATATACTATGTAGAGATATAGCAATGTCTACCTGAGCAGAGAATGAAGTCTCTCTCCCTCTGTGTGTTGTTATTAGAGCTTCTCCTCGCTTTGTTCTCATAGCCGGCCGGCCACCTGCTGTTAGTACATATTAGTGCATGTGAGCGTGCCCCACTGGTTAGCTTATGGTCGCCGCTCTGCACTGCTCTCATACTTTGGCTACAGCCCACCCTTCGTTTCCCCCAAAGGTAAACACATTTGCTATAGTTTGTACTGTTAGCACCTATAGCTGCGAGGCACCAGCTCAGGCCATGTTGAGAGCCGTTGAGCGGCAGTGGAAATGCTCCCTCTCATATTATGTACCTTTTTAAGGTTGCTTTGTTCAGCGGATTTTTGGCAGAATTTTCTCTTCTACGCCAGGAAATTGACCTGATGATTCTTTGGTTTGTGACAAACTAAATTCAGTTTGATGCCTTCCCAGGGCTTCTACTGTCTCCATGACAGCAGCTCATAGTGTAAATCACACAACCACTTACCTTCATTTTTTTTCAGTCTCCAGAGAGAGTTGAGAGCTGTTTTTTTAAGCCTGATAGAAAATGCTCTTCTTCCTACACTTTTTTCTAATGGATTATGCACTTAGTGCTGTCTGTGCATGTTTATCATGCTATAATAAATGGACCAGTAGCTGTGTTGAGTGAAAGTGTATTCCAATGATTGAGTGTCTAGTCTATAACAACAGACATGTGTGGGAGCTTTAAGTTATGAGGCCTCTGATGGGGATTTGATGCCAGCAAGTTATTTGTCAGACAACAAGAAAGGTTTCTGTGAGCTATTAAAGGAATAAGGGAGTAGGAAATCATAGAGGTGAGGGAGAAACTCTAGACTACTCTTTCTTAAACTTGTCACAGTAAATGGCACAAGTCAAGGTATGCACTTAACTTCCAGGTTAACTGGTGGGGCATAGAGCACAATGCAGAGGGGAAGTGAAGAGTAGGTTTCATCACCAACCTGCGCCGGGTAACAGGGAAAAATTGCAAAGAAAGTTAATTAAATTTAACACTAAATGTGGCACTGGTAATTATCTTCCTTCAGAAGCAAGTCAATCAAGAAGGGTTTGGGAGCATGACACCTTTTCTCTCCTTTTTAGTTACCGTGGGATGTTAGGTCACATCATGAAGAGTTGTCATCTCATTGGTTGTCCACTGAGAGGTCACAAAGTTGAAGTTGACTGTTGGGCACAGTGGTGATGTAAAATCTGTGGTTACCTTTGCCCATGGCAGTACTGCAAATACGGATGTCTGTCAGTTGTGAAACAGAAAAGAAACCACATCATTTTCCCCCTGACGGCTCTGGCTCCATCCTGCTTTTGGAGACTAGTAACTCTGAATTGTGGGAGCGCAGTGCTCAGTGGGTTAACATGGCGCTACCAAATTCTCATCAGTTCATTCTTGAGTCCAAGTGGACGTTTGTGCCAAATTTGAAGAAATTCCCTTCAGGCGTTCCTGAGATATCACAGTTTAGGGGAATGGACCTGACAGACAACCTGAAAACAGCATAAAAAAGGAAGAAACACTGTCTGTTAGAAAATGAACCCAACTTTTACTTGGGGAACCTGGGAAACCCTAAACAACTCTTTCCACTTCTCATAAGATGGTTTGGCTCAAATTCTGACACTTATGTCAGTCACTCAAATCTAACATTCTCTAATTAGCTCGCAGTTCAATTTAAAGATGAGCTGGAATCGTGACAGAGCTGTGAAACTGTGCCCACTTAAAAAAGTTGATCTTGTGAAGCTTCTGAACCTGGCTGCCACCCTCATTTCCCAGTTGCTGCGTTACTTTTTTACTAAAGGTAATCTACCATATAATGAACTAGTGATCTCAGAGACTGTTTCCATTTCATGGTTTGAACAGCAGGGACCTGGTCCTGCAGTATATTTACATTGTTAACTTACCTATTCATGTATTTAGCCCTAATTAACTGCACCTTATCATCTGATGGGGAGAGGCAGCCACTGCATAATTTACTTCATTTCTATGCAAATAGAAATGGAAAGTGGGGTCCAATTAAAGATCTTTATGGATGACAAGCACATAAACACACATGCCACATATCCATATGAATACACACACACACACACACACACACACACACACACACACACACACACACACACACACACACACACACACTATGGCATGAGCTTTTATCTTCTGGGCTGAGAAAGATCGCAACAAGAAGGTAATTAGAGTCTGGGATCGAACCTGTGTCCTTATTGACTATTCCGTACTATATGAAGAGCTAGCAGGTGTGTGTGTGTGCATGAGTACATCATTAATAACATTTTCTCCCTCTGTCTCAGTGAGTGTAGTCTGAGCAGGTGTAGCAGCAGCAGACTGATCTCCGTGTTGTTGATTAAAGGAGTGGTGACCTTGACTCTGGTCTCCTGAGGCAGCACTTACTCATTCAAATCTAGCAGTAGTAATTAACACCCTCATCACATTTCTTCCACTTTTTTTGCATTATTAACTCAATTTTACTTTTTAACTTCATGTCACCCTTTAATGATGCACAGAAAGAGAATCCTAACTTCAAAATTAACATGCTCCAATTAGGCGGCTGTTCTGAGTGGCCCCCTGTTTGACACATTTTGAAATGTGTTGCATAGGCCCATCCTTAGTTAGTTTACAGACAACTTTTACTGGTGACTCTTGGGTATGTGGTGACTTCAGACAATAATGAAGCACCGCGTTAATTCATGCAGGACACGGAATCATATGCCCCCAGCTGTAACCAGCTGACAGCCAGCCGATTGAATCATAGCTTCCAAATTGGCCACACACCAATCACAGCCCACATTTAAATATGACTCCTCACTGATCCTTTCTACATCTATGCTGTTACAGACCATACTGCTGGCAAAGCTTCGCCTCCTCCACCCTTTTTTAGTTCAGAGTTCATACTACTTTTGCAGGCTTGCTTCATGTTTCAACTTGGTTGAGTGTGGTTATCAGTTATGTGCACATGCAGTGTTACAGGGCAATTATTTGATTTTAACATTTGTGTTTTTAACTGCATTTTGTGATTTACATAACTGGGTCAAAGTACCCTGCTAACTCATGTCAACCACAGAGCAAGGTTCTGTCCCATTGGGAAACATCAGCTAGAGTTAACCAAGATGGCGGCCCATGTCGGGACGCTGCTTTGCCGTTAGACTGTTTTTACTTTCAACTCTGCATGTCCCTAGCCCGACCTATGACAAACACATGAAGATTGGCTTACATTTCACTCTCAATCTACTGTGATTTTGGATCCTACCTGGCCATGAGAATCCAAGCTGTGCTGGTCTTAACATCAATCACAACCATAGGCATCGGAGGGAGAAACAAGTTGAGACTTTGGAAACATGGTACTCCTCTGCCCAGCATTCTCCTAGCCAAAGTGAAGTCCTTGGGCAACAAGCTGAATGATATTGGGGCAAGATGAAAATTGTAGCAAGACGTAAGGGACAGCAACCTACTGTGTGTAAGTAATCCTCCAGGTCCCGGTTTCAGGAAGCAGGTTTAGTGAAAACTCTGAGTTAGTGATCCCTAAGATGAGGGAAACTCTGGGTTCTCAGTTCCAAAAAGAGAGGTAACTGAAACTGAGTCATGGTAACTGACTCTGTGAACCTACCCTGCTCACTGGAAGATTTTCTTCAAACAAACCTGTCTGCTCCCTCTGACAGAGACAGACACACTGTTTCATTTCCTCATTCACTCAGTCCGTATCAAAGCGCGTATCGCAGCACAATAATTAGAGGTTTCCTGTCTGTAGAATCTAAATCATGGTCAGATATAACATTGTTAAATCTAAAGTTATTGCTCTTTTTTGCACTCACATTAAAACAAAGTCAAGTCTCCCTCGGCTCAAAATAAAACCTCTGCATGTGCTTATTTTTGCGAGTGGGAGTTTTTTTTATATAAATATAAAACACTGACTATGCACATAGTTGATGTCAGCCGTCAGTGATGGAAAATAATTCCTATAAGATTGCAGATTATATGTAAATACTTCTGAGTGAGCAGGATTGCGGTGCAGCTGTAGAATGTA